TCTTAGCTTTGTGCGTGCGCCCCGCCCGCGTCCGCGTGGTGGTCGCGGGCGGGGGTGCCGGCGCGCGCCCGGGACGTCCTGTGTCGGTCCTTGGCGTGGGAAATGCTTGCAGAGGGCCGTGGCTGATCTCCTGGGGGGAGATGCTGCGCGGCATTTTGCGCGTGCGTGCCAGAATCACGAGGGGTCTGGCGGCTCTGGGACAATGCTTGAGCGCTGGAATTTCGAGGTGGTCGCGTTGTATTTGCGCTCTTGTGCCACGCACGTGCGCGTGTTCTCTGCGCCATCCGTGGAGGCGTTTGAGGCGCACGATGGACGGCGTGAGGCCTGGGCGTTGGGCGACTCCGGAGCGTTCTGCGTCGGCTCGCTCCTGTGGCTCGATACAGGGCACGCGTGTGCGCTTACCTTTATCGCGATGGCGTCGATTGCTCGACACTCTGAGTGTGTCCACGGGGGTGGCCCGGAGTCCGCGCCCTGGCTCCGCGTTGTCGTGCGTGGTCGTTCGCGCTCTCGCTCTCGCGCGTCCAGGTCTGTTGAGGCCGTGCCTGACGGCGATGAGCCGTTGGCTGTGCCTGATGGCGCTTCGGGGCAGAACCCGGCCCGGGATCCACGGGGGGAATCTCCGGGGAGTGCTTCTCCTGCGGCGGTTGTGCCCGGCACGGTGTCTGGGTTCGTGTCGGGTTCCCGCCGCAGCGACCGAAACTCCATGGGCGGGCTTCAGATATCCTGGGGGCAGGTTTGCGCCTGCGATGGGACGTCCGATGAGTGTTTGTATGCTTCGGTGTCCCCCACAGCTTGCCGGCATATCGGTCCGTGTGAGAATCGCGTCACCAAGAAGGGCGACTGGTGCGGGCCGTGTCGCGGGAAGCGGCATGGCGGGTTACGTGAGGGAGCATTCGGTGCGGCCCCTGGGGAGCGCGGGGATCCCGTCGAGCGCGTTCTCAGTGGGACCGACGCGTTCGAGTCCTTGCCCCCGGGTCTCCGTGAAGATCGAGAAGTCGTGATGCGAGTGGTCTCTCATCGCGGGGCTGCGCTGGCTTCCGTGGGGACGCAGTTCCAGAATGACGTCGGCGTCGTGCGAGAGGCACTCCGGAATGATGGGTTTGCGTGGGCTCACGTCCCGCAGGGGCTTCGGGAGGACGAGAGCGTTCTCCAGGAGCTGCTCGGCCACATGGAGGAGACCGGGGGCGACCATCTGCCCGACGAATGGGAGGTGCTTCCAGCGAACGCGAGGGTGCGCGTGCGCGACGTTGCAGCGGTCGCGAAGGCCGTCTCGAACCAGCACGAGCGCGATCGGAATCGCATGAACGCGTTGCGGCACTTGTGTCCCGAGGGTAGTCTCAGGGAGGGACTCAGGAATGCTACCGGAAAGCGGTTTGCGATTCCGTCTGCGTCTGAGTGCAAGTCCTTGGTTGCCCTCGCCAAGAAGTATAAACTCAAAGAGGAGTTCGTGCATCTCAAGTGCGTGTGGTTGGTGCACGTTGCTGCGGTCATGTCAAGGTCCTCTCCGCAGGGCTTCGATGATTCCGACCGGGCGGCGGCCTCGTGCGAGGCTGGAGATCTGTTGTTGGAATCGTTATGCCAGCCGTGCCTGCGGCCATCGTTCGAGCGCGGCATCTCGAACGGTCGCATCACGGCCTTGGGAACGTTTGGGAGGAGACGTGGCCAGTTCGCCGCGGGGTCCGTGTCTCCGGTTCCGGATGTTGCAACGGACACCCTGGCCACGCGCGTGCTCCGTGTGTGTCGCGGTGAGTCCTTCCGATCGTCGGATGTTTTCGCGACTTGGGTGTTCTACGACTTGGTCTTCCGGTTCTGTGCGGACATTGATGGGTTTGAGGCGCTCCTGGAGGTCACTGGTGGCCTGCTGAAGGACGTCCCAGAGTGGATTCGACGCGCCCGCATTGTGATCAGCGAGTGTCCGCACGCCGAGTATTTCTGGGGGTCCGCGAACGATGGCCGGCGGAGTTTCCCTCTGCAGATCGTGCGTCGCCGCCTCGATGAGCTCCATTGGAAGCCAATTTGGGCAGGTTCGTTGCCTTCCGACACGCCTGTGTCGCGCGTTTTGGCCTTTGTGGCCTTTCTGGGCGACTGGCACGTGGGGGCTTCGCGGATTGCGGAGAGCGTGCTGGCGTTCAAAGCCAACAGGACGGAGTTGGCCTCGGCTGCTCAGGAGATCGCTCTCGACTATTGTCTTCCCGGCTTTTCCCACGCTGGAGACACGCGCAGGTTCGAGTACTACTGGCCGAAGTTTCCCTTTAGCGACCTGGTCTTGTACGCGCAGGAGTCCATGCGCCTGTTTGCCCACGATCGCAAGGGTCTTGGAGGTCGTCTGCATTTGCCGCAAAGGAATGTGGAGGCTCTGGCGGCCGTGACCTTCAATGGGCGTGGCGGCCGTCTGCCTTTGCTTGCTTTCGACATGGAGCCCTCGTGTGCAATGTTCAAGAAGCTGCGCGATCTTGACAAGGATCTGTTGGTGTCTCGCGACCTGCCCATCAGGGGGCTGTGGCAGCGGGGCGGCTGCGTGGACCCCGAGCATCTGACGGCGTATGATCCGCAGGTGGTCAATTGCATGCTGTGGAAGCATGACGTCTGCGTTCTGTCGCCACCGAATCAGCGGTTCGTTGGCGTGTCGCTGCAGTTGGACAGGTCATACAGGCACTGGCGTCAGATGTATCGTCGAGACCGGCTGTGTGTGCGGTCTCTCCTGGAGCCTCGGTCTTCTCCTCGGTCGGTGCCTGTTCCTCTGACGGACGGCACGGGGGGGTCGTCTGGGGCGTCGCATTCCGGGCCTGCTGTCGATGTGGCCGCGTCTGCTGGTGGCTGGTCTGCGCGGGTTGTTCGTGCATTAAGGAGTGGGCGGCTCTGCGCGGTGGACCAGGGGAGTGTTCTGGCGGGGTGTGACAACAAGTGCCTCCTCTTGTCTGTGGCCGCGGCAGGCGGCGACGCGTGGTCCATGACCGACGCAACCGAGTATTTCTCAGAGCGGTGTCAAAACGATGCTGGGGCGTGCTCCACGGGCACGGCGTTGGAGCGGCATAACTTCCAGATCGTCCTGGATTGGCTTGCCCACCGCAACGCGAGTTTTTGGGTTTACGAAAGTGAAACCTCGCGTGCGTTTCTGCGTCGGCAGGTGGCGTCTTGGCAGCGTCTCGGCGCCTTGCGCTGGCGCGCTCGCCTGGCTGCGAGGTGGCCATGTCGTGAGGCTCCACGATGTGGATGCGGTGCTCTCTGCGGATGCGGGAGCAGCTCCCGCCGGTGGGGCGTCTTCCCCGCCATGGGAGCGAACCGTCGCGGGTGCGATTCGCCGCAGGCAGAGGCGTTCGATGTCGAGTGTGCGTCGGCGTGGTGCGCTGCGGGGCGGGGCGCCGAAGCGCCGTGCGGAGCAGGGCGCGGCGGGGGCGCAGGGGGCGCGCGGGGGCGCGCGCGACGGAGTGGACGCGGCGGCGTTGGCCCGGATGAGTTTCGCGGCCCTGGAGGCTCTGGCCAAGCGATTGCGGAGCGACCGCGAGACTGGAGTGCCGGCGTCGCGGCGCTGGGTTGGCCTGGAGCGCAAGCGATTGGACATTGAGGTGTACAGGTCTGCGCTCGCGGCGCACCTGGGCATCGATATGAGCGGTGTCCAACATGCCGGCGCGGAGGCGCGATCGCGGGATGCTGCGTGCTCGATGCTGGACCGCATGGAGGAGCACGTGGACGAGCACGGCGAGCTGCCGCGGCGCGGGGCAGCGGACGAGGACGAGGCAAAGCTCGCGCGGTGGATCCACAATGTCACCGAAGGCCAGAACGAGCTGGACGCGGACAACCAGGAGCGGTTCGACGGGCTAGTGAACCAGCGGGAGGAGAGGCGCGCGCGCGCCCGCGCGATGCTGGACCGCATCGAGGAGCACGTGGAGGTGCTCGACGAACTGCCGAAGCGGGGGGCGGAGGACGAGGAGGAGGCGAAGCTTGCGCGGTGGATCAATAATGTAAGCACTGGCCACCACGAGCTGGACGTGGACAACCAGGAGAGGTTCGATAAGCTGGTGAACAGGCACGCGTGGCAGCGGCGGACGGCGCGGGAGCGCGTGCTCGAGGTGAAGGCGTTCGTGGAGAGGCACGGGCGAGGGCCGCAGCGCTTCGGTCACGACGACGATCCGCAGGAGCATCTGCTCGCGCGTTGGGTGGAGCACGTCCGAGCGCGTGGCGTCGAGGGCCTGGATGAGGGCTGGCGCGCGCAGCTGGAGGCGGCTCTGGACGCGGATCTCATGCAGGTCCAGGCGCTGGAGGCGTGGTGCGAGAAGAACCAGAGGATGCCGGTGGAGAAGGCCGAGGATGACGAGGAGCGCAAGCTGGCGAATTTCGTCGCGAACCACGAGCGGAAGGGCCGCGCGGCGTCCTTCAACGCGCCCGCGACCTTCGACGCGCTGCGGCAGAAGTACGCGCAGGCGGCCGCCGCGCGCCGCGACGCCGAGAGAAGGGAGGCGGAGGCGCAGGCGCTCGAGGCGCGGCGGCAGGAGCTGCTGCAGCGCGCGGCCGAGGAGGAGGAGGAGGCTTTCGGGGAGGAGGAGGAGCAGGAGGAGGAGGAGGAGGACCCGGCCGACTGCCTCGCGGAGGAGCGGCGCGCGGAGGTCACGGCGGATATGTTCGCCAGGTTCCAGAGGGCAGACAGGGCGCTGGCTCGGCGGGTGAAGACCGCGCTCGTGGGCGCCCTGCTGGAGCACGTGGACGCGCTGCAGGGCGCCCCGCTCGGGCTCGACGTCTTCGTTGCCCTGGCCAAAGACAGGCGGGTCCGCGAAGCCATGGCCGCCCCGGCGGCCGAAGAGCCGCGCCGCGAGGCGCTCGGGGAGGAGGATGAGGAGGAGGAAGAAGAGGAGCAGGAGGAAGAGGAGCAGGAAGAGGAGGAGCAGGAGCAGGGGGAGCAGGAGGAGGAGCAAGGCGACGAGGAGCGGAGGGAGCAGGAGGAGGGGGACGCAGAGATGGCGGACGCGGAGGAGGAGCCGCGGGGCATGGCGGACGAGGAGGAGCTCCCCAGGGAGCACGAGGATTTCGTGCGGTACGTGCTGGCGACCTGCATGCTGTCGTATGTGCCCGTCGCGCCCAGGTTTTTCGCGGGGGAGGCCCCGGACGCGGAGCTGCAGCGGCAGGTGGCGGAGCTGGAGCGGCTGCGGGACGTCGCCCTGGGGCTCGACGCGGCCACGGCGCAGGTCAACGTGGCGCGGTCGCAGGCGATCCGGCGCCTGCGCAGGGCCGACCCCGAGCTGCTGCGCCGCACGCCCGTGCCCAATTCGGACGTGCGGGAGCCCTGGGAGCAGTGGCAGCGCCTGCTCCAACGGCTCGAACAGGAGGGCGTGGAGCGCGAGGTCTGGGTCTGCTGCCGTCGCGATCCGCTGCGCTGGCGCGCGCCGCTCCGCGACGACGGCAAGCCGGGGCCTGTCCGCGCGCCGCTGCTGCCGTCGCTGGACGCCGCCGAGGGCGAGGTCTGGAGGCCGGGGGAGGTGCGCGAGGCGACGCGCCAGGCGCGGTACGCAGAGCAGGCGCGGCTGGTCGGCGCTCTTGGCGCCCCGGTGCACGGCAGCGTGCTCTTGCGCCTGCCCTCCGATTTCCTCTGCTACAAGTGCCAGCAGGATTTCGAGAGCGCGCGGGAGCTGACCGACGGAGAGGTCGATGGTTGGTGTAAGAGGTTGCATTTCGCGCCGAAGAAGCTGCCTAGCCAGGCGGTGATGAAGCGCGAGGCGGTGAGGCGGAGCGCGCCCGCGCCAGGAAGCGCGCGCAGGCGGCCCGGTGCGCGGCGGGGGGGGAGAACGGATTCGCTGAGTTCCGTGGTCTGCTGCTGGAGGACGAGTGCTTCCACCAGGACAACTGCGAAGCGAGCGTGCAGCTGGACCAGCGACCCGCTCTGGAGCCGTGGTACCAGCGCGCGGGGCCCGACGGGAGCAGGCTGGCGCCCTGGCCGCGCGTCTTCGGTATCCCGAAAGCGTGGGCCGGCCCTGGCCGTGCGTTCTTCTCCGAGGCCGTGGAGTCGGGTTTCGACGCCGACACGTTCCCCCAGGGGCGGCGCGGCCACTACACGGGCGAGCCGGGCGACGTGCCCGCGGAGCTCTGGCTGTTGCGGGCCTGGTGCCGCGCGCGCGGCGGCGTCGCTCGCATGGGCGACGCCCTGGCCGCGCGCTTGCAGCAGCTCGAGGGCGACCGCGACATAATGTACAGGGTGGGGGCCGCGGAGGGCGCGCGGCGGTCCCCGAGTGGCGACCTGAAGCCGCCCGTGTACTTGGCGGACCTGAAGCCGCAGGCGATCCCCGAGTGGCCCGTCTGGCAGCAGCTCCTCAAGCTGAAGCTTCAGGCGGCGCGGCAGGTGGCGGCTTTCGTGCGCCGGGAGCGGGCGGGCGTGGGCTTGACGTGGAACCTCGCCGCGGGGCACTGGGACCTGGACCAGCAGCGCCTGCTCGCTGCGCTCGAGAGGGATCCCGCGTTGCTCGCCGCGGTGGAGAAGGACGACGCGGCCGCAAAGAATGAAAAGGACGTTCTGATTGCCCTCGACGATTTCCGTGCCCGTCACGGCGGTGTCTGGCCGGACGCGTTCGCCGATCGGCGCGGGGAGCCCGATTTCAAGGAAGCGAAGCTCGCGCGGGGTGTTGCAAGGTGGCGACGAAGTATTCGCAGGAATTCGTGCGCATCTGGTTGGACCGGACATGCAGCCAATGGCTGCGGCTGGCGGGGTGCGGGGATGAGGTGGTGGGAGGAGGGGGCGGCGGCGACGACTCTTCCGGGGGCGGCGGCGGCGGCGGCGGCGGGTCCTCTTCGGGCAGCGGAGCGAACGGTGGACCAGCGTCGGGGTCGGGCTCTGGTGCGCAGGGGCCGGGCGACGGTGGCGCGGGCGGCGACGGCGACGGGGGCGCGGGCGGGGGCGCGGGTCGGCTGCTCGGCGGCGGACCCAAGAGGCAAGCCCCCGAGGGCCCAGGGCCGCGGACTCGCGGGGCGGCGAGAAGGGACCAGGAGCGGTTGCAGCAGGGGCGGCTGCGGAAGGAAGAGGAGGAGCGTCTCAGAGGGAAGACAGTGAAGGCAGGGGACGTGGAGGTGAACGTGGCTCTGGATGACCCCCACGTGAGCGAGGAGGGCACCTTGCCGGCCTGGCTCCTGGACCCCGCGCCGTGCGTCGCTGGCAGGTGCGTCGCGCGCGTCTGGCACCCGCGCCGGGGCGTGCACGTGCTCGGGCAGTGCCGGCGTTCTTGCAAAGGCGAAGGGCAGTTCTGTGGGAGCCACGGCAGACCCGAGCAGCGACCTTTTGGGGAGTGGGACCCGGACCAGCGCCACAGTTCCCTGACGCGCGAGTGCCCGGAACGGTATGGCTTGGCCGTGAAGGAGGCGCGGAAGTGCGAGACGGATGCCGGCGGCGCCCCGCCCGCGCCGACCCCGGCCATCGCTGCCGCTCGCAAGGCGCGCGTGCCCAGGCTCCAGCCCGAGTATGTGGCCCTCCCGTGTGGCGAGCGCCGTCCTCTGCGGGCATTTAAAGAAGCCCCGGAGGCTCTCCCGCCGTTCCCGTGCCGCCTCTGCGACAAGAACTTCGCCACGCATGCCGGCTTCATGACGCACGTGCACGAAAAGCACCACGGGAGGCCGGAGTATAGGAAGCGCTTGTTCTACCTGGCCGAGCAGTGGCCCCAGCAGGA